CAGGCCTGGGAACAATGCGCTTCAGCTCACGGGAGTCAGTTTGAAGGCTCAGTATCTGCACAGGGATCTTGATATCCTCCTCAGCTTGGCCAGCTTGCCCAGATGCTATATTGCGGTTATGTTGGGGTAATGGAAAAGAAAGTTGAAACTTGAAACTACTGTAGTATATTGGGGTTATATATGCTACGGTCACTCTACGTCAGAATTGAACAGCCAAACAAGCCAGAAGCCAGGCATCAAGTTAAAACATACAGGCCATCTACGCCCTCATGAAGTCTTGGCTTGCTGGCCACAAAATTTAGCCAAGTGGCAGGACGGATTGAAAGGCTCTCGTTGTCCTTGACAGCTTGGCTTCCCAACTTGACCAATACATGGTCGCGGTTACAACCCTGGAACGAAGCAACGGGCAGAGATCACGACAAGGAGCTTCGATCTTGGCGAACTCCTCTGGGGGCAGTGTCTCCTTCAGCTCTGCTTGTTGTATGGGCTGCAGTACGCGCATCCAGCATCCACAGCACCGGCAAGGGCGCCTGGAGGGTGAGAAAGAATGCCTCTTTAGCGTCCGTCAGCTCCTTGGAAATCTAGCACGGAAGCAGTTGGGATTTGCAGACGGAGCTTGACAGCACCAACTGTAGCACAACGGTGCAATTCCTGCTCAAGACTACCCGCACACTGCAATGGTTGAGCATTTGCACAGCTCCGGCGAACTCAACCGAGCGTTGAACAAAGACATCTTGGCCTTCTCTTTCTGACGTAGGAACTGAAAGCTTCTGAGGGACTCCATGCAGCCACCGTTGAAGCTGTATGCCCTTAAAGAACTCCAGAAATCCTTCCTGATCCCGTCAAAGGGGTCCTTCTAAGTCCTACGCTGCAGTGGATGGAGGAATTCTTGCATCACTTAGAATCCCCTGAGTACTGTAATCACTATTATTGGGGCTTTATAGGGCGGTGCAAGATTTCCTCCATCCACAGTCATTCTGAAGGTCTCTGATTTAGGGCGGCACTGGCTGAATCCCCTAAACCCTAAACCCTAACCCATCTGAATCCACCAGTGAGCCTAGCCACTGCCTCCCTCTGTAGACGCATGAGTCGGAGGAACTCCTCAGGTAGGGGTTTCCTACAATTAATTAGGGTTTAGGGTTTTTGCCACTTGCATGGCTGAGGCAGCATCGCAAGGTTCAATCCGGAACAAATGAGAATAATCGAGAAGTGTACCAAGGGTTTAGGGTTTAGGGTCTAGGGTTTAGGGAAGGGTTTCCTACTTGGAGGTCCATTGTACTTATAACCTACTTAGTAACTATAGCTATAACCCAACTATAAGTCCCATAACTACAGTTACCCTAGATATAATTGGGTTATAACTACAGGTACTAAGTAGGTTATAAGTACCATGGACCTCCAAGTACAATTAGGGTATTGTGGTCCCCCTTATTTTGGGAAGTACCAGGTTGGAGAAGTGATTTCCAACATGCTGACAACTACAAAAGGCAAAAAGAAGCTGGAGTGTGACCGCTCATCCACTAGGCCATGCCAAAGTATTATCAGGGCTCATAGGACTCGCTCTTGAGCTCAAGCTAGACAACGTCATGAAGACTATGACTCTGAGTACTCTCCCAGAGGATCGGATAGGAGAGCTCAGGACGGACTCAAGCATTCTGCAATCCATTCTAGGGGAGCTGCCCGTGGAAAGCTCCCTGCAACTCTCCAAATGGAAAGGGATGGAATCTTCGATGTCATTCTGCTAGTTTGGTGCGGTTGAGTCCTTGAAGTCCAACGAGTGCGTCCCGTCGACATCCACCTGCCGTGGGCACAGCACAGACCCTCAAGAGCCCAAGTCTGTAGTCCCCTGGGACCTTTTTGAAAAACTATCTTTAACAACTGCTTAGGGTTATGCTTTAATGAAAAATACGAAGGAGACTACAGGAGTCTGAGGCCTGAGAACTCTGCAAACCGCACTTCCTGACCCTGGGACGGGCTGACAAAATGCCACAAGATAACTGTCTAAATTAGGCGTTCACGGAACCTTTCAATTCTTACCAATTGGTGGCTCAGAATTTTCACCGTTGCAGGAATCCTACTCATCTAGACTTTATGGCCTTGCGCCTGAGCAACTGGAGAGGGTTCACCTCAAACATTCTCGGGGTCTTTCGTACAAAAGCAAATACTGACTTTGTAACTTTCACGTTGAATTGAGTCAGCTCCGAAACATGTTTTGACTGCACAGTCTCAGTGAAAATGAAAGCCCCGGCGGTTTTTTGAAGCTTCCTGTAGAATGTGATGAGAAGAAAAAATGAGCCCCTCCCTTATCCTAAGTCACTCCCACCCCCGTTGCTAAATAGTCCCCATGATAGTATCTTAAGATATGAGTCGGGAGAGCAGCACTTGCTGCAATGCCAAGGAGCGGTGTTGTTTTCCCATACCCTCCCCAAAACTGACGCGCGAGACTACCGTGACTACTGCCCTTGAAAACCGTCATCTTAGAGTTGAGGAGGATGGTGCGAGGGATAACAGACTGTTGAGAGAAACCATCTCGACTTGCCTTGGCAACCAGTTGCTGGATTCTGCCTGAGACAAGCGGGGGTTTCCCAAAATTTAGTGTAGCTTTTGCGCGGGGTCCATGCAATAAGGACTATAGCATCTTGAGGTTTATTGGTTTTCCCCGTTTTGGCAAACTACCTAGATGCTTGAGCAGGCATAGCCACGCGAACACTTGGAAAGTCACATGAGCAGCTACCTGAATTATTAGTAAACAGCTAAATGCTCACGTCCCTGGATTTTATCTCTGCCTGCTCTTGGCTCCTACATGAAAATATCAGCGGTCGCTCACATCGGCTTGAAGCTCTACCAATCACACGCGGCCAGCAGTGAAGTCACAGCAACGAAATGGGGGTTTCCCAAAATTAGGGGTACCTTTCTGGGGCAGGAAGCATGTGGGGTTGTATAAAACCGCTGTTCCTATTTGCTTGACCCGAAAGTTGTCGTCGCCTTATTTTCCTTAATGTCGATTTTCCAAGTGTTGGACCTTATATTTTTCGTTATCGCATGTTTTTCCTCTTATTGTTTTTCCAACTGAAATCGTTAGCGCATGTTTTCCTCTTATCGTTTTTCCAACTGAAGTCCTCTGGCATGGGGTTGGTTTTACAACCCCATGTTGCGTTCTCCGGCCTTTGCACGCCCGACTTCCATTTTGTGTCTTTGCTCCGCTGATTTCAGGTTTCGTGACGGAATGACAGATCAGCTCCTGCAACCCGCTTGCATATACATCCTAAAGCCTGCATCCGATAAAGCTGGCCCCAAGGATACCGAACGATCTCGAACAAACTCGAATTTGCAGCTCTCACGTGGTCGCCAGGTAGCCTGTCTTGAATGTCGATATCAGAGGAATATGTTGCAGACCAAGGTTAGCCCGATGACCCAGCCCCAGCGTACCCCGAGTTCAGGAATGACGAACACAGCGAGAACCTCACCTATGGTATTCAAAGCTTGGCTAACACCCTTGCTGAGGTGTTGTTTGGCGGCGCTTTGAGACTCTAGGCGGGTCTTTGTACACGAGCCTCTAAGCAAGACCCGATAATCCGGAACTCCAGGAAGAAAGCAGTCGCACACAAATGTGTATTTACACATGCCTCATATGTGACATATGTCTAAACATCGCAGCCATCCGTTGTAGATTGCCAGTGACCACACCAAGGATTTTGCATTCTGGCTTACTTGTGACCCTAGTACAGAATGCCTGAGCCCCAAAACAGTGAAATTTCTGTAGTCATCCTGTCACACTGTTATAGATTGCTCTGTGGCTCGCAAATCCTGAAGGTCAGGGATGCTCGCTTGGAAAGGCCTTCTCAGCTTAGAGTTTAGGACAATAAAAAGAATAACAATAAGGATAATAATCATCATAACAATAATACTTTACAGGACTGAGGGAATCCCCCAGGTCTAGGTTCACAAGGAGAAGGAGGTTCCGCATACTCGCGAACTCCAAAACCAGCGCCAAGCAGCTCAGACTAGAATTGACGCCTCTGGACCGAAAGATATCCATTATCCTTGGATAGTTGAGAGGACATGCAATAATGGTTATTGACAAGCTGTTCCTATAAATGGTATATGGTTGATTGAAATTCCTGCTCCCCGAAAAAGTATGGAAAATAATGTCCGCTGTCTTTTGCCTCATAGACCTATGGGATGCTATGGGAACCCCAAATAACTATCCAAGAAGACCACTTCAGATCAACCCCGACATGAAAGCATTCAAAGCGACATTGACTTGACAATACTGCCAGTGTTGCAACAAAAGCATCAGCAGCTTTGCGGCGATCAAGAAAGCAGCAAGAGCGACTGCGCTACGGCAAGAATGCTGCGAAATGTGAATTAATGACAGTCATGCACACCAAGCCCACAGTACATGTCAGACTACACCAAGGGTAGCGAGCAGAGGCTATGCAAGAGCAGTGAGTAGTAGCACGGAGCAGCTTTAAAATCGGTTGCAGCACAGGACTAGCAATGGCAAAGGCAATGCTGAAGCTGCAGCAGCAACTGCTTAAAGCACGAGATGCACTTCACTTGCCAGAATGCACTGGAGGCATGCAGGCAGGTGGCTGAATTGTCGAAATCTCGCCGTTGCTGTCTTTAAACCTACGATTTTGGGACTTTGCGCTCCGGATCTAGGAACTAGGATTGCAACAATCACGATCCTGAAGTCTGAGGCCCATGTGGCTTCGTGCACAAACCGGAGCATGCGGTTTTGGTTGGGTAGATGTAAAGGGTGGGATCTCATCAAAAAGTGACTGGCCACAAACGTCACATCCTGCGCTCTAAACCAAATGCGTCAACATTGGTGCTGATAGCTCACGGGACACCACGAAGATTGGTTAAGCCAGGACTGGGCTCCACGCATGGCCCAAGAACACCAAACTGTCGTAAACATCCAAACATTCCTAAATCTTTCTTGCAGAATTTGGGAAATGCTACCTTAGGTTCCTACGGTGCATTGTTGAGGGCTCCTAAGCGGGCCTGTTGAAAAGGGTCTGCAGCTCGTCAGCCTGTGATCCAGTGAAACCGTCCCACTTCTTGAAGTAATCCATCACATCCAGATACCTAATTTGGGTTGAGGGTCTAGGGTTAGGGTACTAGGGTTCAGGTCTACCAACGGGTCATTAAGGGTTTAGGAACCAGGATTTAGGCTGACAGCCTGGGCATGCCATTGGTTCTCAAAGTGAGGACCCCAAGCTCGTGGCTTTGGGCTTGGAACGCTTTTTTGACCATCTATTCAATCAGGGCTGGTTGCATGATGGCCTGGCTGAGTTGTGTAAGATTCTACCGGACAGGTTCTCTGCAGCGACCCTGTCATACACCATGGTGTTCACGACCTAGCTTTTCACACATATCCAGACTACAGGACTGCAAGCCCTTTGCAGCGTTGCCGAGTTTCTCCTCCAAGTTGATGGTGTTGTCTTTGTCCATGTCTACTGCCTCACTTGCTTCATCAACCAATACACTCACGAAGGACCTCCCTGGCTTATATACAAACTCTTGTAGCTTCACTGTTGTCATAGCCCTTGCATGCCTAAAAAGATGCTGCTCACTTGGTTTGCGAGGGAAGGATGCAGCACAGCGCGGCCTCAAAGAGATCCTGCACGTTGGATCGCATGGGCCTTGCACCGGATACTGCTCGTGACGCTCTTCTCAAAACTCGGGTCCAGGGTTCCGGGCCTTTAAACTTGTGACCTGAATACGGTACGGAAGTTAAGGATTGCACCATGCTTTCGAGAACAGAATGCAGCTACGCTGTCACCCACGCCCTGCCCACGCTTGATTGTCTCCCCTTCCCAATCATACTTAGTAGCTTGACCCCAAGATCCCTGGAAAGGTACCTTAATTTGTGAAAGCCCTAAGCCCTAAACCCCTGTTGTCCCGATTTAACCCTATATCCCCTTTAAAGGTACCCCTAATTTTGGAAACCCCCACTTGAGACCGGTCAGGAATGGCAAAGCTAACGCCCAAATTCGCGAGGACCTGACAGGCTTACCTTCGGCTTGTTGGGAATGAAGGAATGGAAAAGGAAATGGAAACTACTATAATGGGTTATATAGGGACTGCTATTCCTTCATTCCTTTTTACGCTACGACTGGCTTTATCTGCAGTGAACAACCTGTAATTTCCACCGGGCCCCCGGCCTCTGGCGTTTGGGGGAGCAAGGCTCCACCCATCCCCCTTTCCCCCCTCCCAGCGGACCGGTGCGCAGAGCGTCTCCACGCACAACCCGTTATTGAGCTGGCAGCTTGGTGGACTTCCGGGCAGGGCGTTGACCCTCATGCCCAATATAACCCCAATATAACCCCAATATAACCCTAATACAACCCCAATATAACCCAATGTAACCTATCTACAACCGGTGCAGGCCCTGCTCCCACAACCTTCTACTCCTCGCGTTTCTATCGTCGGCCTCTGTGAACTGAGGATCCTGTAATAGGATTTTATTAGGATTATATTAGGATTATATTAGGGTTATATTAGGATTATGTTAGGGTTATATTAGGGTTATATTAGGAAGTATATTAGGGTTATATTAGGGTTATATTGGGATAATGGAAAAGAAAATGGAAGCTACTATAGTATATTGGGGTTACATAGGGATAATAGGGATAATGAAAAAGAAAATGGAAGCTACTATGTAATTTCCATGCAAATGTCTGGGGGGATTGTATAAAAGCCATTCAGGTATTGCACAGAGCTCTATAAGGATATTGTACTTCAGAAGGTCATACAGGGCTCTGTAAGGGGCTTTTATAAGGAGAGTATATTCCAAGATTATGTAGGCATACTATATAAGGTGATCTAAGGCTGGCTGCTATACAGGTGAGCCGGCCGAGGCAGCGCATGGAGGCGTTAATATTATAGCTATCTAAGTATGAGGAACTGGCTGTATCTTAAGCTTTTCCCTACCTAGCTTTGAAGCATCAGCCCAGGTGCGTGTACCCCATTTCTGCCAAGAGCGTCTTCACCTCCGAGCGATCCAGAACGCCATCACCACTCTCGTCGAGCTTCTTGAACCTGGTCATCATGGGAAATGGAATGAAGAAGATTTTTGCCCAGCCCTAAATGCCTTGATTGGAGAACTAAAGCCGCAGGCGCCTCCGGACCGTAGAAAAGACCAGAGTCTAATAACATCAGCCAGTGTTGGAGTTGGCAGTGCTATCCTGGTGAAAATGATGATGCTTATGGTGGCCATGGTGCCATCTGCTGCTGCTGCTGCCGCCGCCGCTACCCCGCAACGACAACAACTACGAATAGAACAACTTGACTGTGGCAGCCTGAAATCGTTGTCGCAGCTACTTGCTGTTGCGGATACGCTAACATGATGTGGCTTCAGCTCTTTTGGAGTTACAGTAGACTCCGNNNNCCCCACTAGGCCTTATTAAGCCCTACATTTAAACCCTGAGGAGTTACCTTTGGGATGCTGTTGAAAGGGTTGCTGGTTGAGGTTTTAACTCCCGGACAGGACCGTGACAAAAGGAAATCCCTAATGCATCCTTGAGACACGTTGCCGAGCTGACATGAAACTAAAACAGGCGCTCAACGAAGACTGCTGCAGACTACTGCCCATCCAAGAGATGGTTATATAGTTATGTATGGGGTTCCGAATTAGTTTGGGGACAAAACACCTCAACGGCTAACAACATATACATCTCCAATCCACTTTCGCCCTCCATGGAATCGCTATATTGCCCCCTGGAAAGGTTAGTGAAGTCAAGCGACTGGCGCACATATTCTGCAATCTCCGCCTCCTTCATACGCCGAGACCATGCAGTGAACCTGTGGGGCAAGCTATCATTCCCTTCCCCACAAGTAATAATTAGGGTAGATCCCCAGCGCCCTAGGGCCGCCATAAGGTAGGATAGACCCAGTGGCTTCTTAGAGGGTCTGTCCTATCTGTTGGGCCCTGGGGATCTACCGGAATACCGCAGAATCAAACGGAAAAACGAATGGAAGCTTGAATGAGAAAGGGGTTGCAAAGAAGGGAGTATCTCCCACTCCGTGATCCAGAATTTTCCTATTGTCAATTGTACCAGTGAGCATATCATGGGAATATAAAGGTGGGGGAAGGAAAAGCTCTTATGACCACATAACAATTACAGACAGGCCAAGTTGCAGAACCTTATTCAGCACCTTGCCCAGGGTGGTGGAACAAAAAACTTCCGTCTTGCTGAAAAGCAGCTGGCGAAACGTGAGGCCCGTCCCCTTCTCCTGTAGCGAACGGAAGAAAACAAGTAAAACAAACATCATCAGCTGCAAGTATAATCAGCCCGAAAATCCTTTTATTCCACCAGTTTCCATTCCATTGTTCATGTTCTTTTCCATTTGATTCTCTATTTTCGGGGGAGAATATAGCTACTTAGGACCCTTTGGGTTTATGCTACCCCTATTTGAGTAATGTTTTTTTGGTGGTTGAACCTAGTAAGATTACATTCCTTACATAAAATGCTATGCCCCAAAAGGAGGATATAATCTTATTGTATATTGGGTACCATAATATCCCCAAATAAAATACTACTCATTTGGGGATCCCTCTCCTCGCCATCGCCCAGAGCCGGCCGGATGTTGGCGGCTGCCAGTTTCCAGGGCGAACGACTCCCCTTCCTAGGAGCAACCAGACACTGGGGCTCAACTTGCTTGGAGGTACCTTTTAGGGGGTTTCCCAAAATTAGGGTTTAGGCTCCCTATAATAAGGACTAGAGCATACTGGGGTCTATATTAGGGTCCCCTATTAGGGGGTTTCCCAAAATTGGGGTTTAGGATCCCTATAATAAGGACTAGAGTAATTATACTGGGGTCCATATTAGGGGGTTTCCCCAAATTAGGGTTTGGGATCCCTATAATAAGGGCTAGAGTATACTGGGGTCTATATTGGGGTCCCCTTGTTTAGGGCAACTACCATACGCAATCGTCAAGTCGGACGGTTTCACTAGCATGTCGGTTAATTACAAAACGCACCTCTGCAGAATCAGTCAGGCTTGATTTGGGCCCCTAAACCCTAAACCCTAAACACTAAACCCTGAACCCTAAACTAAAGGAACCCCCAAAGCACCTATAAGAGGCCCATGTGAGCACTGTCTCTACGGACTAGAATTTGATGCCGTCCTATGGTCTAGCATGCCAGAAGATGCCAAAAGAATGCAATAAGAAGATAGCAGCTACAGTGAGAAGAGGTTGGCATCTACAATTAGATTCATCCTATAGTTTCCATTATCCCAATATAACCCCAATATAACCCCTATAACCCCCATAATTTCCATTTTCTTTTCCATTATCCTAATATAACCCCAATATGAGCCCTATAAACCCTATAGTTTCCATTTTCTTTTCCATTCATCACCTCAACTTATTTCTATTCAGCCCCACTCCGGCCGAGAATGAATCCTCCCTACGCGAAGTGAGTAGCGGTTTATGGTGGGGGTTGAGCCAAGTAAGACAACACGCTTCTTCTAGAATACCGCTACCACAACCAAAAGGATGATATAAAGTTACTCTAGAATGGGGACTATCGTGCTATAGGATCCCCAAATTCCAGGGTGTGTAGCGCTACCTGGACTGCCTCGAGTGGGCCTGACAAAATCGGACTGCAGGCGGCTGGCATTATCTTGGAGGTTGATGCAGCCAGTCTCCTGACACACGCTCAAGCGCACAGAAGCTAAAGGGCGTGGGCTCTCCTCCCAGCTATCTGCTTCCCGCATGAGCACGCGCACCCCAGATCCACATGTCTAAAAGAGGCCATGCGCTCTCAGGATGTCACCCATGTCTTCTACTATAATTAGCCCCTACATCCACATATAACTCCTATATCCACATATAACCCCGATATCTAAAATATGTAACCCCTATATCCCCATACACTCCTGGAAACTAACCTGGAAACCCAAAAGGGGCCCTATAAAGCCTACAGTCTCTCTAAAATGGGGCTATATGGGTTTCCATGTTAGTTTGGGGGAGTGTGTAAACCCCGTACCTCGGGCTGAAGCAAGGGGAAGCAAAGGCTCCTGGCAAGCTCTGCGGCCTGCGCACCAAACTCGAAGATCAGGGCTGCTGTGAGGCGGTGCTCTGGCACCTGGCACGATTTGGGGGTTGGGGATTAGGCTTTGGGGGTCAGAATTTCAGCATGTTCCTTTAGATCTGGCTATGTGGGGATGGGGAGGAGTATATAGGAGGAGGAGGAGGAGGAGGAACGAGCTGTGCTGGCGGTGCCATGCGTGATTGAGTTGAGTAGCAGCTCATCGACTACTTATTTCATGAGGGAGATCAAAGACTTTCTCCGAGTCTGATGCAAGACCTTTTTCGGGCTGGGCGCTGGGAGCCAAAGATGTTGAGAAGAGAACGGTACTTGAAAGTACTGGAATTCTCCAAGAATTTGCTACTTTATCCCACGTCTTCTGTCCCAACGAAAACGGAGATTTGCTAGATCCATATATATATATATAACCCCTATAACCATGTATGACCCCTATAACCCTAATAACCCCTATAACCCTACATAACCTCCCATGCCCCCATATAACCCCCATATCCCTATATTCATATGTACCCTATGCTGCTGAGCCTTCTTCACCTTGGTTCTCGGGTCTTCCACCGCGAAGCGGCAGAATGTCCTGTACATCTGCCGGATCTCCTGCCAGGGCTTTTGTGTAGTGTAGTGTAGTAGTGGTGGTAATAGTAGTAGTAGTAGTAGTAGTAGTAGCAGCAGGTGGTCGTTGCTGTCGTAATCATAGTTTGTAGTCGTAGGAGGAGGACGAGGATGAGGGGGAGGAGTTGGTTTTGACTGCGTTCTTCAGGCTTTAATTGAACGGACTCCTATAGGGATGATTATAATTATTCGCCACTTCGCTTATTTCACGTGCATTTTATCACTTGACCATCTCAACTACTTGCTCTTCGATCAGCTGCTTAGTTTCAAAACTAAAGCATACTAAACCGTTCTTCGGCCACGCAACATTGCTAAATTGCCTAGCGGCTACATCACTTGCCGATTGCTCCACGCGAACCACTTGAATTCAAAGCATGTGCCCTCAACTATTCTCCTTGTGGCTGAAGCCATCCGTTTGCCTGTAGACTAGCAGCAACGACCTGCACTGCAGCGAGTCATCTGTCATTACTGTAGCAGGCAGCAGAAGTAGCAATAGTATTAGCTGTAGTTTTAGTAACAGTAGTAGTAGCCGTCGTCGTAGTAGTAGCAGTAGTAGTAGCAGTAGTAATAGCAGTAGTAGTAGTAGTAGTAGTAGGCGCCCCCCCCCCCTCCCACCAACTATGTTTGCCAGATTGCGCATGTGGAAACCACGTAAAAACTGAGGAAATACTGGCTTTCGTGGGATGCCGAAAGGTTTTGTACTTTCGTAATGCGTGGGGATGCCGGGAGGGGGGCTGGGGTGGGG